CTGTATATTTTACATATTAATCCCTCATCAGGTCAATAATTTGGAAAATTTTTCTCCTGTTGGTTGCCTTTTTTACTATGTTGATCGTGTCTTTTAAGGTACAACTTTTTAAATTTGTCTTTTGTTGTTGTCGTTGTTGCCTGTGCCTTTGGTGTCGTAGCCAAAAAAGTCATTGCTAAATCTAACGTCAGGAAGTTTTCCCCCATGTTTTCTTCTAAGAGTTTTGTATTTCTGGCTTTCACACTTAGATCTTTTGTCAGTTTGGGGTTAGTTTTTGTATGTGGTGTGGATATCCAGTTTTCCTAGCAGTTTGCTGGAAAGACTGTCCCTTCCCCATTGAATGCTCTTGGCACCTTTGTCAAAGATCATTTTACCATGTATGTGAAAGCTTATTTCTGGGCTCTCTCTTCCATTCATCTATATGTCTGTCTTTATACCAGTACCACTCTGTTTTCATTACCTTCGTAGTAAATTTTGAAATCAGGAATTGTAAGTCCTCCAACTATTTTCTTTTTCAAGATTGTTTGGGATTCGGAATCCCTTTGATGCTATTGTAAATTGAATTGCTGTAGTAGTTTCCTTTTTGGATTGTTCACTGCTAGTGTATAGAAATGCAACTGATTTTTGCATGTTGATTTTGTATCCTACAGCTTTGCTGAACTCATTGATTAGCTCTGACAGTCGTTTTGTGTATTCTTTAGAGTTATCTGCATAAAGATCATATCATCTTCAAACAGATAATTTAATCTCTTCCTTTCCAATTGGGATGTGTTTTGTTGCTTTTTCTTGCCTAATTTCTCTGGGTAGAACTTCAAATACTGCATTAAATAGAAGTGCAAAAACAGGCATCCATTTCTTGTTCTGATTTTAGAGAAAAATCTTTCAGTCTTCTACCATTGAGTATGATGTTCACTATGAGTTTTTTATATATGGCCATTATCATGTCGAGGAAGTTTCCTTTTATTCCTAATTTATTTAACTTATTAAGAAAGGGTGTTGAATTTTACTAAATGCCTTTTCCACATTCATCGAAGTGATTATATGTTTTTTATTCTTCATTCTGTAAATGTTGTGTATTACACTGATTGATTTCCTTATGTTGAGCTATCTTAGCCTTCCTGGGATAAATCCCACCTGGTCATGGTGCATAATCCTAATATGCTACTGAATTCAATTTGCTAGTATTTTGTTGAGGACTTTACATCAATATTCATCAGGGACATTTGTCTGTAGCTTTCTTTTCTTGAGATGTCTTTGTCTTTGGCGTCAGGGTGATGTTGGTCTCATAGCATAAGTTAAGAAGTGGTCCCTTCTTCCTCAATTTTTGGAAGAGTTTAAGAAGGGTTAGTGTTAATTCTTCTTTAAATGTTAGGTAGAATTCACCAATGAGGCCATCTGGTTCAGGGCTTTTCTTTCTTGAGAGGGTTTTGATTATTGACTTGTTATAGATCTATTCAGATTTTCTATTTTTACTTGAGTCAGTTTTGGTAGTTTTGTGTGTTTCTATGAATTTGTCCATTTCACCTAAGCTATCACATTTGGTAGCTAGAACTTTGTTAATTTTGGGGCCGGCCCGGTGGCGCTCTGCTGTAGTGCGCCGCTTGGGAAGCGCGGCGGCAGAGCGCCGAGGGTTCGGATCCCACATGCAGACCGGTTCCCGCTCACTGGCTGAGCGAGGCGCGG